AAAAAAAAAAAAAAAAAAAAAAAAAAAAGAAGACACAAACATAGCCTAGGTCTACACAGGGTCAAGATCTTCAAGACGTTACTAGGCAATAGGAATTATTCAGCTCCATCATAATATTGTGGGACCACTGTAGTATACAAGATCCAACACCAAAGTGTCGTTATGTGGCATATGACTATAGTTTATCTTTTAGCCACGATTTCTTGCTTTGTTAACTTTAAATATCATACTGATTACTGATTCTGTAAGAAATTAGCTCATTTATAGTTCTTCTCCCTCTTCTCCCTCAATGTTTTTATTAGTAGTAGTTTTTGGTTCTTCTGTTGGATGCCTTTGTAACTTTAATGTATGCATTTCTCATTCCATCAACACCAGTCAACATTTCTTAATCTCCCTCTTTGTATGATAATTAAAGTATACCTTCTTCCTTTCACCCCGTTTCCTCGTAGTCATTTCTACTTTGACTTTTATGTTGTCAAGCTTGAAATCAGTTGCCAGCCTTTTATTCATTTCTCATTTTTTAACTTCTGAGTTTATTTGTTTTTTGAGACTGAGTCTTGCTCTGTCACCTAGGCTGTAGTGCAGTAGCACAATCTTGGCTCACCGCATCCTCCGCCACCTGGGTTCAAGCGATTCCCCTGCCTCAGCCTCCTTAGCAGCTGAGACTACAGGCGCATGCCACCAGGCCCAGCTAACTTTTTTGTATTTTAGTAAAGACGGGGTTTCACCATGTTGGCCAGGATGATCTCGATCTCCTGACCTTGTGATCTGTCCGCCTTGGCCTCCCAAAGTGCTGGGATTACAGGCGTGAGCCACCACACTCGGCCAACTTCTGAGTTTTTAAGTTAGATATTGGGGTGGGAAATAATTATATGTGGTCTACTATCTTGGACCCCCTAGTTTTTATTTTATAATAGTACTTTACTGTATGAGTTTCATGATATAAATATATTAAAATTGTTATTTAAACAAGAGAGTAGATACATCAGTTTGTAGAAAGTTTCTTCTTTGAAATCTCTATGATTTTTTACTTTCCAGGTACGAAAAACATTTTTCACCTTAGCATTTTGTGACTTTTGTCGAAAGCTGCTTTTCCAGGGTTTCCGCTGTCAAACGTGTGGTTATAAATTTCACCAGCGTTGTAGTACAGAGGTTCCACTGATGTGTGTTAATTATGACCAACTTGAGTAAGTAATCCAAAATATCTCTCTTCTGTCTACCATTTTACCCTTAAATTTTCTTAATGTGAAGCTATGATGTCTTAAAGTCTGTGAGGGTTTTTTTCTTCCATACAGTTGTTACAGATAATTTTTTTTAAAGTGTAGTTAGAAAATAATATGTAGAATGGCCAGTATTTCTCTCCCAAGTTGTAATTCTGGTTCAGGTATACAGTTAATTTATATTATATTAATTATATTTATTAATTAATTTATATTTATTTTATATTATCTCTAATTTACATTTATTTACAGTTAATTTATATTTATTTTATATTATCTTTTAATTAATCAAGACCCCTAACCCATAGAAATCAGTTTTGGGTAGTTTCTAGGAGGAGGGGGAAGAGTTGTTTCAATTACATTAAGTGTTATGATTTTGTACCACAGATCAGGTAGTCTGATTCTGTTAGCTATTTGTAAATTACATTTATATTCTTGCTCTCTCTCTTTCATCCCCATTCAACTCTCTTCCCCTGATTTAAGATATAAAATTTTTATATCCAGTATATATCTCTTTGTAAAATTTCTCTTTGCTGTATGCCAGTTTTTCTGATAGATTAGATTTGAGTCTATTATAATCTCTTTTTGTGTCATTGTTGCTGCTGCAGCTAAAGTCTTACTTTCCTTGATCACTTGAGCAAATAAAACTTAACTCTTTAAGTAAATCATAACGTCACCTAATTTACAGTACATAGTTTTTCTTCTCATTCTCTAACCATAAAGCCTGATTTTCATCTTGTAATATGTAGAAATTTGCTGAATAGAATGATTAGTTTTAGGCTATGAGCATGCCCTTGAAAGTGCAATATAATTTTTTTTAAATAAGCCTTTAGACAAAAATCCAACTAATTGAATTTTAACAGACGTTTCTGAGAATGGAATTTGATCTCAGGTTTTTCTGTTAACTCTGTGTTTTGGTATATGAAGTTTCTGGGTTTTGCACAAGTTAGGTTTGTTTTGTTTTGTTTTGTTTTGCCTCACAGTTTGCTGTTTGTCTCCAAGTTCTTTGAACACCACCCTATACCACAGGAAGAGCCTTCCTTAGCAGAGACTGCTCTTACATCTGGATCATCCCCTTCTGCACCCCCCTCAGACTCTATTGGGTATGATTTGACTTCTGCTCTTCAGTGATATGCTACTTGAACTGCTTTCTTTTGGATCTCCTGGTTAATTAGAAACCTTTCTAACATTTAATGGTTAAATTAAGGATTTTTTCCCCAAATAACTTATTTTATCACACCAATAAGATATTTACGTGCATTTGGTACAAATAAATGGGATTAAAGCTGACATAGACTATTTTAGAACCAGTCCTGAAAAAAATCAAGCAGCAGATAATTTTGCGTCTTCACCTTGAATTCATCTTTTATTAAGTACTGAAGTATATGACTTCGACCTATGAAGAAGCACTGACATATGAGACAATGGCTAACAATGTAAAAATAGTATATAATTATAATCTATTTATGATGGAGTTTATTAAACTGTGATGAGGACATAAATGTTTTCATGTTTACAGAAGGAAGAATAGTGAGAAAAAGAGAGTGCTCAGGAAAACTTAATGAAGAAGGTGGGATTTGAACTAGACTTTAAAGAATTACTACCATCTGAATGGGCCTAGGGAATAGAAGCATGGTGAGAGGGGAATGGATGAACAACGTATATAAAGGAAATGAGGATGTTAAGTTTAGGAGCTAGTGAAGAAAGGTTTATCTAATTTAAGAAGTACCATGTGTAAAACCAGATTATAGAGCTTCTTGGAATTGAGGCTGGAATTTAGACTTAGATGTCGTTAAGTAGATTACTAACTTGATGAAAATGGTTTTAAAGAAAAAAGCAATTAGTGATGAAATACAGATGGATTGACAGAAAATTTGGGGTGAGGAAGGCCAACCTAGGATGTTGTTGGTAGCGAAGACTGAGAGAGGCATGAAGACGAGTTCAAGTGGTAGAAGTGTGGAAAAGGGATGGATATTCATAAATATAATGAAAGAAAAAAATTAGTGGTATTATTAATCAGTTGTGGAGGATAAATTTGAGAACTGACTTTAAAAATAATGCAAACACATCATATATTTAAGCTTTATAGTAGGAAATAAAAAGGAAGACGCAATAAAGACGAGTTAAGTGGATGTCAGTTTGCTTCGGAACATTTCTCCAACTCCTGGCCTCAGGTGATCTTCCTGCCTCATCCTCCCAAAGTGCTAGAATTATAGGTGTGAGACACTGCATCTAACTAGCTTTGAAACATTTCTGACACAGGTTTGCTTACTCTTTCATATTGGATTTGGGGCAGTATTATTTAGTCTGTGTCTGGAAGTATATGCTTAAAAAGAAAGAAAGAAAAAAATATCCACATACAGCGTTCCTGAGATGTTAAGATTAGAAATATTTATTATCAGGTTTAACCCTGCTTCCTCCCACTCTGCACTATGTAATGCTATTTCTTTAGATTTCTATCTAGAGAAATTTTTTCAAAATCAGTTGACGTTTTTAGTACAACTTTGTAATTTTTACAAAGCCAACCTTTCTGGTGATCTCATAGGTTAGAAAAGCTTGCAAAAGAATTGTGTATTAAGCAGTGGGTGTTCTTACCTATTTGGAACACTGGAAAATGCAGCCCTTGTGTTCTCTTGTCAGGTTGTAGCAGTTCTCTATTCTGATGGAGTAATTTTATTCCTGTTGGTTCTATCATTACTTGTGTGCAGCTGTGTGTTTTACATGGTCAAATCAAAATGTTCTTATTGTTTGTTTTGGTTTTTAATTAATCTTTTGGTTATAACATTTTCTCCTGACAGATGCTATAGACCATGATGCCTTTCTAATGGCCGGTCCCAGTTCTGTGAGCAGTTATAAAACACTATAATGAAATTAGCTTGGCCTCTCTGAAGGTTTATAATGGTAATGATCCAGGACATTTGCCTTCCAGTGAAGGAACGCTATCTTAAAATTAAGAAACCATTTGCCTGTGCCATGAATATTTTATTGGTAACTGAACTGAAATCAATTCTGATCTTGAGCAAATGATAAGATATTCAAACTTGTCTATAATTCATTTTCCTGATATTTTTATGACATAACTGTATATGGTTGTCTCTATAAAGATAGAAGCCAATCTTGATCAGTATCAAAACTCTTTGGCAGTTTGTTACTAGTCCTGATAACAATAATAATGGTCATGAAACAAGTGTAATAATGGATGTAATCAAGAAATACTGGAGAAGTGATACATTGCCTAGTTTTGAATACAAAATGAGAGATACCTCCTTTTCTACGTTTTAAAAATGCTGTAGAATGTATAAATTTATGAAAAGTCAGCATTTAAAATGTGCATATCACCTAACCAAAGTTTTCAAAACTTATAAATATTATAGTTAAGAATGAGATCTAAACTAATTGGTAATTTGCTGAAGGGTATTAGAATTTAAGTTTCTTTTATCTTTAATTTGATACTGTTTTAAAGAGGTTTGCTGCAAGATAGGCACAGGTATAACTGGGAAAAAGCCAGTTTGCTGACTGCCAAGATACTTCATAGGTATAAGTTACCTTGGTTAATGGAAAGATTTCCCAGTATAGTAACATAATTTTATCAATTACCAGAAATGATGAAAATAGGAGTTATACTGGTTTATATTAACCAAAATAAGAAAAATAAACAAATCAGGATGCCAGGTAGTATTTTTCACTCTTCTTTTGGAAGAGATTTATGGGAAATCAAATTATAATCAGAAGACTGTTTTCCTTAGGCATACACAGAGTTAGGACATGGTTCAGATATTTAATGACATCAGGTTATGATCACTTCAAATGTTCCCCTGTACTTGCCCTCAAAGCTAGACAAGTTGACTTGGTGGACCAAGGCACAACTATTAGATACCAACTACCAAGCTGAGTTTCTCTGAATTTGTGTCATACACAGATACCCTCATTTTGTAATATATGCATTCTTTAGATATGATAATGAAGTCTGTCAGATTAAATCAGGTTTTTGTTTTTCTTCTGGACCAATGTCGTTTGCATACGTATTTCTGATTTGTTATCTACTACTTGTTTCTGTCATATTCCTAACTTGATAAGTTTCAGAAATGACTTACCGCCATCTCTGCCTATACCAGATTAATTGTACA